TTTTATACTTCTGAAGATGGTTAAGCTGTTTGTAATACTGCATGTCCTAATGGCAAGAGTGCCCCTGTGCTGGAGGGCAGTACAATGAGATAATTGACCGTGGCACCATTATGTAACTGTGCCTTCAGCTCTGGGTGTGTAAATCACATCACAGTCAATTATCTCACTAAAGGGCCCCCAACGGTGGGCTCTATTGCTTAATTAGGCTCTTGAGGTGAAGCCAACCTCATGTCTGTGCAGTTGCCAGACGTCTTAATGCGAGTGGATGGGATGGGTAGGTTGGATCTGCTTTGCAGGCTGAAGTAAAGAATAAGAAAGTCATTGTGTTCTCCTGCAGGAACACAGAGTACTGCTTGAAGGCACTGGTACCCTCTCCAGAGGCAGGAAAGGCAGTGTTCAGGTATAGCAGGCACTTTCTTTAAGGAAAGCTTGCTTTTATTATAGGGAGGGGGAGGGAAATGTGTGTCCCAGAGATGTGGGAACAAATGTGACTCTGGAACATGCTGGTCTCACTTGGAGCACTTTCTTCCTCACAAAGGGAAATGATGTTTGACACCCCATTGCCATTAGGCACAGGCTACGAGTGAATGAGAGCTGGGGAGTGAAAAAAGTAGAGTCTGATGGTCCTTTTCCTTTCTCCAAGCCCCAGGGAACAGGAGTGATGGCTCACCCTGACCCTAAGGAGGCTTCAGCCTTCAGAACTTGGAGATCCAGGTTGGCATGGTTTGTGTACTACAACTTCTGCCCCTACCAGTATATCAGCACAGTGCTCCCCTGCTATTTATTCCTCTTTTCTTTCCCACTTCATCACCTTTTCCTCCACCTCATCAATCCTTCACTTCCCCACCTTACCGTCACCAGCAGAACTATGCTCATTTCCAACAGCCGCAAACCAGTCCCACCAGTCCTACCCTGGCTGCCCACCTCTCTGTCCTCCTTTGTGCCTCTCCACACCAGCCCTTTAGCTCAAACCCAGACCTTTTGGGGACAGGGATGGTCATTTTTCTGGATGCTGCCTTGTGAATGTTGGAGCAGCCAGTGAACAAAGAATCAGACAGATCTCCAGCAACCAGCTGGAAGCCTGTTCCAGGAGAGTAACTGTTAAGCTAGAAGCCATTAAGAGAATGAAGCAACGGGGTCGGCTGGAAGCACGGCTAGATTTATGCAACCCTTTTTGTTATAACAATAATGGTAATGATGATGGAGGACTGCACTGCATAAGGGCTGCACGGCAAGGGGACTGGCTGAGAATGAAGCAGAAAACAGCTGCAGAGCAACCACGGCGCTAGGGAATGTGGCTAAGTAGGCGTGAGTGTGCGTCTGTACCAGCATGTGGGGAGCTCTGGGGCGCTGAGGATGCAGGTGATTTTTGGTCCTGGGATTATCGAGATGATGCCTGTTTCCTGATGGATAATCCATTGTGTGCAGCTTGGCTGGGGGAGGGACAGTGGCCCAACTCACCTTGGAGCAGGGTGTAGAAGGCTCCTGATGCCGACAAATTGGTTGTTATCGTAACATCATCCTTGCTGGATGTTTCCACCTGGACGTGCACGGAGCTGTCCGTATCACTGCGGAAGCTGCTCACTTGGCCAGTAGGGAAGGTCACGTTGGTCAGGCGCCCAAAGCTGTCATACCTGAAAGGGAGGATGGGCTGAAGTCAACAGCATCAACAGAGGAGTGGGATACAGGAATCACCCTATAAAGCAGATACTGAGTCTTGAAGCCATCACCCAGATTTTTCCCAGAGAAAAATGCATTGTCAGTCTGTCAGACTGTCTTGACATTTTTGGCTTCATGAGAAGAAAATCACAGCTTTTAGCTGAAGAAAATCAAGCACAGAACAGAAAATGACTAAATAAGTATTAGCCTGTATTTTAACAACATTTTTCTGATACTCATCACCTGCACTGTGCTTCTTGTTTACAAGAGTAACTTTATTTCCCATCCACTGTGCTGTGACTTGTGGAAAAGCAGTGGCCCGTGCACCCTGCCTGGCAGAACTAGGAGATTCTGAAGGCCACCAACTGTTTTGTCTGCTTGTGTCCTGAGATCTTCAGCAATTTTTTTTTTTTCTATCTGATTTTAAAAGCTAATGTTAAGGTAGCAGCAAGGACCTGCCAGATTCGCCACATCAGGTACAGAACTGTCCTTTGTGAACATGGTGTGTAGAGCCCTGAGCACAGCTGAGACCCCTGTGTCTAGCTTTTACAGTTCCTAGGACCATCTGGAAGGACTGATTTAAAAGCGTACAAAAGCAGTTCAGTTTTCACCCCTACTGAGTCCTTGGCTTTTCCAGTGAGGGAGTCAACATAAGCACCATCTGGGAAGGTTTCTGCGATGTGGACGCCTGTGTACCAGGTCCCAGGTGAAATAAACTACATACATGCAGGTCCCACAGCAGTTAACAAGCTGCGGGGTTATTTTTCAATAAAAAGGAGAAGCAGACACCTGTGCCTAGAGGCCTTCCATGTTGATGGAGCAAACACACCATCCTGCCTCCCATTTCTGGCACTGCAAAAAGGGTGCCCTTGGGTCGCAGACCGAGCTAAGAGCAGAGGGTTAGCAAGGGACCTTTGCAGTGAGGCTACTGCCTAGTTTTTACTTTCTTTAAAAAATAATCCAGCCACCAAGCCAGGAAACATGAAATTATTACTCTACCCTTAATTGGTTTAGTGGTGGACTTGGTAGTGTTAGGTTAATGGATGGACTGGATGATCTTAAGGTCTTTTCCAACCTAAACGATTCTATGATTCTATGATTCCATACTGTAGACTGAAATGGAGAGCAGCAGGAAGCTCTGCTGGCTTATCTCTGGAGAGCTGTTGGACCTTCTGATGAGACAGACCTTGAGGGAAGGGATATTTAACTAGTCAGAGAGAAACAGGAAAAAAATTCCAGCAAAAGCAATCAGTGATAATGTTAGACTTTTTTCATGTCCTGCCCCCATATCACTTAAGAATTATTTATATGATATATAAGAAGATCATATCAAGAAAACATATCACTTGGGGATACAAAGCAAATGGTGGATGAGCAGAGAGGACTTGTTTTCCTGCAATAGCCAGTGGTGAGCCTTTGATGGAGCACAGTGTCCAGTGAAGGGCACCACTCCTCAGAATGATAAAGTAATGTAAATGGCATGTTAAGGATAACAAGCTTAGAAAACATGACCTAAGAGACAAAGCCAAAATAAATGAGCTGATTTAGAAGAGAGGAAACAAGGAAGTGGGAAGATGCCACCCTGGCAACAGTTGTTCTAAAGAGAATTATAATTAATGATTTGTCATATCTACTGAGGATGCAAGAAAAAGTAATCAGCTTGAATGGAAACAAGGAAGATTCACGTCAGAAGCTGGAGAACGTTTTCCAGGCCCATGGCTGCTCCAAGCAGAGGAACAGATGGAGCGCTGGAAACCCCATTGCCCAACAGTTTTAAGAACAGGTGAGAGAAATGTGTTAGAGATGGTTGCAGTTGATGCAGTTGACCAGACCTTGGAGGTCTGGAGGGAGCAGATGGTTGGGGAGCTCTTGATCCTCCTTCAGGATTACTCTGAGCTGGGGACTATGACAACAGACCCCATCTAATAACAAAAAAAGCCCAAACAAAAAGAAAAGGAAAGAAAGGGAAGGGAAAGGAAGAGAGAAGAGAAGAGAAGAGAAGAGAAGAGAAGAGAAGAGAAGAGAAGAGAAGAGAAGAGAAGAGAAGAGAAGAGAAGAGAAGAGAAGAGAAGTTGAACTGCAACCCATGAGAGTCCCAGGAGCAGCCACTGGACTGACTCTGCACTATACAGAAAAAGAAATTCCTCTCCTCTTCCTTTCTCTTTTTTCCAGGTTTGTACACCGTACTGGTACTTTACTTTTGACAATACGCTGGCAGTGACTTAGTGTGAGGAAGGGCTGGATGAAAGGGTGATTTTTGCCCAAGTTTTATATTTAGTGTATAGTGACTAAGTGGGTGAGCTCATTGCAAGTCTCTCCAGCCCTTGGGTTTGGAGACACCATCACGTGAGGCTTGTCTTGCCTACTGGGCAGCGGGGGTAGGAAGGCAGAAGAAAGCATTTGGCCCTCCACAGTGGCAGCCTATCAGTCATGGGATTATCCATGCATGGAGGACGGAGCAGCCTTGCCCTTTCCCTCCAAGATCTTGGCGATCAATCAGCCACTTGTGAAACGGAAAAGAAGAAAGAAAAAAAAAAAAAGGATGAATTCAGGACTGCATTGCAGGAGTTTGGCAGAGACCAGTTAAAGCTTTTCCAAGCAGCTAGCAGTGCACAGCTTGCATCTAAACTGAATCTCCTTGCAAGAGCCAGAACTAAAGTGCTCTCAGTACCAAATGCTTTGCTCCATGTTTGTGGTGTCCTGTCTGCACTGAGACTGTACGCGTTTTGATTGTGCTTTCTGCACAATCATCTGCACATCTCCTCCTAGAACAGTATGCGAGTCTTAAACTGAAAATATCACAGGCAATATCTTTACCCTATCTGCTGAGACAGGACACAAGGGACATGATTTAGTCTCTACCTTGAGCAGAGAAAATGTTGTTATCACTAAAGGTGTGCTGTGTAACACCTCAAATTCTTTCTACCTCGACATCAATAGTCCTATATATAAACCAGTCTGACCCGCAGACTCAGATCCCAAATACTCCAAAATTTAAGGACGATGGATCTGAATTTAACACCTCTGACTTGGTGGTATTATCAACTGTAAGAGATTTATTTATACTGTTCTATTTAAATTTTAAAAAATGGGCTGCTCCTGAAATTGAGCCTGATTCACCTCCTAAAAATAATGGCACAAACCTAGATGTTCTGCACTTAAGTCTAAGGGGTGAGTTTGGTGTAATATAGGTGTGAGTGTGAAAGAAAGCAGGTCTGCGGATTAGGAAAAGAAGGAGAGCAGAAGCCAGGATGGGGGCAGAGAGCTTGTTCATGTGATGGACGTGGCTACTATTTCCTTTAAGTGCTGAGTCAATGTCCTGTGAGTCATATGGTTTATCTAATTGAACAACACTCAGCACCACGGTGAGAGTCAGCACAAAGCCTGTATTCCATGCAAACCCTACTTACATGCTCCAGAGAAAGCCTCAAACCCCTGTGGATACTCAGTTTAACAGCCCCAAGCAGCAGCAGACACCCAGCTCCTTAAACTCTACTCCTGCACATCCAGGTCCCAGCACCCTCACACATGCTCCTCCAGCTCTCTGCTGGGCAAATATGCAATATTTGCAAATGTGCAAATGGGAAAATATGCCAGTAACCTCTGCCCATGCAAAATGGGTTAGAACAGCATGAAAAAAGAGCATGAAAGAGTACAATGGTGCCTAGCCCTTGGTGCACACATTTTTCTTTTTAGGTCAAAATGAGTAAGTACAATATGCATAATTTATACAGTTACATTTTTACAGCTGTAGAAAACTCACATCGCAGAGGAGAACTTCATCAAGAGCAAGGACTTCCACTTGGGACGTTGGGTCCTGAGAAGCAAGGCTCATTTTGGGCCAGAACAGTCTGGAATGGTGTGCTGGAATTGGTTTAAGATGTCTGCAAGTGTACATTAGACTTTTGGCACCTCCTTAGTCACCCCATTAGCCTCTGTCATAAGTAACCTGGACCATCTGTGTTTTCTGCATTTGCAAGAGCTGCTGCACCTCTGCCCAGGAGCAAGGCAGGGACCTTCCAAGCACTCACTTTGGGAGTGACAGCTCACCTATTTGCAGCTGCAAGGAGGTCATGCCTTACAAAGGGAGAAATGCGAGAAGGTTCTACAATTAGACTGTTCCCATTTTTATTATTATTTTTAATTAGTGGCAGATGAAGTGTAAAACACTCAGGTCCAGACAGAAACTCCTTTTAGCACTGCAGTGGCAATGCAAAAGGAGGTGCTGGAAGCTATTAGCATGGACAGCACTTTCCTCTTGGCAAACAGTTCCTTTTTGCTTTTCTGTTTTGCTCAGGACTGGAGCATTTTCTCCTGTTCCCTTGATTTAGATCACACAGCACATGCATGATATCATCTATCACATACCCATAGTCTCCCAGGACACATTAGCGTGAAGGCTTCAACATCCCAAATGGATAATGTGCTTAAAAAAATGAAATGAGTTAAATGAGTCGGTTCCTTCTACCTCTGCTTTCAGCCCTATAAAGGCACTTACAGGGCACATCCTCAGCTTGGAGAGGAAGGCCAAGTGACTGGCTTTTATGCAGCTGCAGATGTGCCCTGGTATTTGCAGTAAGATAAATCTCTCCTAGTCACCTCGTTTTGCAGCTAAGCTGTATAGGCCTGTTTCCACAGTCTCGGGATTTAAGGGTGGGCCAGTTTTCATCACAGCCTAAGACTTCTGTGTTCTCCAAATGCTCTGAAAGCACCAGAATTAAGGAAATACTGAAACACGGGAGCGCACACAGCAGCCACTCTGAGCAATGAATTCATCACCTGCTAACACAGCTGCTGCCTCCCATTCAAACCTGCTGCAAAGACTCAGCACTTACAATTACAGTGACAATTATTAGGCCAGCAAAGGAAGCTGTTGCCATCCATTCCCAATTGGAAACGTATTTAGCTAAGGTTCAATGCACAGAATTAAAATGGTATTTGGTGCTTATGAGGCCTAATTGTTAGCTTGTAAACA